TCCAAAAACTAAGGAGATTTGCCACCTACAGACCTTCATGAAAATCGAATTCCTCCTGGTTTTTTTTTCCCCCCTATCACTGAAATTCTACATTCTTTCCATGGGTTGGGCCTTAAATAGTCAACAAGTAATTAGGTGCAGTCCCCAACTTCAAGATGTCCCAAATCTAGACAAGGGTTATTGGATTTAACAAACAAAATACAGGATACCTTGTTTAGTTTGCATTTCAGATAAATGATATTTAGTATCTGTGTGTCCCAAATAGCACACAGGACATTTAACTGGGAGTCGTATGTTTTACCTGGCAACCACAGTCTATCTGAGGGGAGGGATGTCAGAGATAGCACTGGAAATTGTCAGCTTGTAGGTGACACCCACATCCCAGGATGGGGACTGGATGAGATAGACCAGAGCTTGGTGAGACCATGTCAGGTGAAAAGAAGACAGTAAAGAACCAGCCCCAGCATTCCAACCTTCAAAGGGTGATGACCAAAAACAGAGAAGAGGAGGACCAGGGAGGGCAGGCCAGAAGAAAAGTTCCAGTGAGGAGGGGTTTCCTGTCGCATGAGGCTGCATTCACTCAAGTACTGAGTGTCTGCTACAGACCAGGTAATGTTCTAGACACTATCCCAAATAATAGAAAAATTGAAAAGGATGCCCTGAAATTTGCACTTTGGAGATCATATTCTTAAAGTTTTTAGAGAGCCACAACATCGCTTGGCATCAGGGAAATCCAAATCAAAACCTCAGTGAGATATCACCTCACACCAGTCAGAATGGCTAAAATTAACAAGTCAGGAAATGACAGATGTTGGTGAGGATGTGGAGAAAGGGGAACCCTCCTACACTGTTGGTGGGAATGCAAGCTGGTGCAGCCACTCTGGAAAACAGTATGGAGGTTCCTCAAAAAGTTGAAAATAGATCTACCATACGATCCAGCAATTGCACTACTGGGTATTTACCCCAAAGATACAAATGTAGCGATCCAAAGGGGTACATGCACCCCGATGTTTATAGCAGTGATGTCCACAATAGCCAAACTGTGGAAAGAGCCAAGATGTCCATCGACAGATGAATGGATAAAGATGTGGTATATATATATACAATGGAATATTATGCAGCCATCAAAAAGAATGAAATCTTGCCATTTGCAACGACGTGGATGGAACTAGAGGGTATTATGCTGAGTGAAATAAGTCAATCAGAGAAAGATATGTATCATGTGATCTCACTGATATGAGGAATTCTTAATCTCAGGAAACAAACTGAGGGTTGCTGGAGTGGTGGGGGTTCGGAGGGATGGGGTGGCTGGGTGATAAGACATTGGGAGGGTATGTGCTATGGTGAGCGCTGTGAATTGTGCAAGACTGCTGAATCACAGATCTGTACCTCTGAAACTAATACATTATATGTTAAAAGAAAAAAAAAAGAAGATAGCAGGAGGGGAAGAATGAAGTGGGGGGAAATTGGAGGGGGAGACGAACCATGAGAGACTATGGACTCTGAAAAACAAACTGAGGGTTCTAGAGGGGAGTGGGGTGGGACGATGGGTTAGCCTGGTGATGGGTGTTAAAGAGGGCACGTTCTGCATGGAGCACTGGGTGTTATATGCAAACAATGAATTATGGAACACTACATCAAAAACTAATGATGGTGATTAACATAACATAATAAAAAAAAAGTTTTGAGAGAGCCAATTTTACTACTCTAGTGAGGACCAGGTCACCTGCTACAACATGGAGGGGTTCTGAGGCCCTTCTGTTATGGCTTGAATTATGTCTCACCAAATTCTTATGTTGAAGTCATAATGGTAACTAAGCCCCAGTACCTCAGAATGTGACCTTGCTTGGAAATCAAGTCATTGCAGATGCAATTAGTTAAGATGAGGTCTTACGGAGTAGGGTGGGCCTTTAATCCAACATGGCTGCTATCCTTATAAAAAGAGGAAATTTGGACACAGACATACACATGGAGGGAGAACACCATATGAAGAAGGCAGAGTCTACAAGCCAAGGAATGCCTAAGATGGCCAGCAAATCACCAGAAGCTAGGAGAGAGGCATGGGACAGATTCTCTCGCAGCGCTCAGAAGGAACCATCTCTGCCAACACCTTGTTCTTGGACATTGGCCTCCAGAACTGAAACAGTACATCTCTGTTGTTTACACCCCCCAGCATGCAGTGCTTTGTTACAGCAGCCCCGAAGACTAATACTTCCCTTCACAAAAACTCTCTAGAATGCAGACCAGCTGGTACTTCCTGCTACAGCCCCGCTGCCCCCACTGACCCTCTCCCAAGATCAAGCCTGGAATGGGGGAGGTCTCCCACCTGCAGTCTCTGTCCTTCCAGTCCAGGGACTTGTTGGCAGCTTCAGTGCCTTTCCCCATTCCACCTAAGGAAAGAGAACTTCCGCCACTTTCCCTTCCTCTGCACCCTTCCCCATCCACCCAAGTCCCCCGTCTACTTCTCATCTCGTTCCCACAAACCAGCTGTGCACGCCTCGACAAGCCTGCACTAAAGACCTTAGCTAGTTCCCCTTTCCCCTTCTCCCCAAAGCCTCACCCCTAGTGTGTGTAAAATGAAGCCACCCTCCCAGGTCCCACTCTGGGTAAAAGTTGAGTTTTCTGCGATTTCCTGTTTTTCCTGGACCCGTCCTCCCAGATGGCTCTCCCTTACCCATGCTGATGCGATGTTTAATTATTCATTCAAAAATATTAACTAATCACTCATGAAGCACTGTGCTAGAAGCTTCAGGAGTGTCTGAGACAGAGACCACCTGTGTCTCAAGAAAGCCAAAATGTGGTAATCATCTAAGGGGGACAGGTAAGTCTCTCCTTAGGCTAAGTCCAATAGATTTATATGGACTTCCTGGAGAAAACTGGGATTTCTAAGGCATCATCTTGGCTCCATGAGAAAGAGTGATAGATGAGTGATGTCTACACGGACATGCAGTGGGGGATGCCAGCATGGGAAGACCCATGATACTTGCCACCAACGAAGTATAGACTCTGATCTGCATCCAAATTCTGGCTCCATGTCTACTAAGTGAACTTAGGCAAGTCTTAACCTCTCACAGCCTCTTGAGCAATTTAACCTCTAAGCGTTTGGATAAATATTTTAACAAGTATATGATAACCAATAAAACTAGCAATCCTAGCACATATAGGTATTTTAGGTTACCTGATTTTAAGATAGGACAGAGTGGGGGTGGGGAGGAGATACAAGAACCAAAATTATTAAAGTACAAGGCAGAAGAGGTTTTAAGAGCAGTAAGAAGTATGGGTACAGAATGCCATGGGAATTGAAAGGAAACTTCCAATTGAGATCATTTCCCTGGTCTTGAAAGGAGGGAGCAGAAAGAGTGGGGCATATTCATGGGTCTATGGTAATGTAAGAGAAGCTAGGAAGGAGGGCTTGGTCAACAGGGAGCCCTGAATTCCTGGCTAAAAAGTTGGGATTTTAATAAAACGACAGAAATCTCCATAGCAAAGTCAAGTTTCACAGCAAACTAGTGCGATATTATTTGCATTCAGGAGAGAAACAACCAGAAGCAAATTTTGACTGTACAGTTCCACATGGGATACCAACTGGGTTATGCTGGTACGGGAGCATCTTCTTTGTTCCCAGTAAGCCTAATAGCCACGTAAAAGTTACTGTTTGTGAGCACTATTTAGGTATTAGGCATAAGAATGTGGTCTTGACAGCTTCGTATTAGTACATTGAGGCAGATGATGCTATTATGGAAACTAAGATTTCAAGAGCCAGTTGCCCAGTATCACACAGCAGTAAGTAGTCTCGAGACAAGGCTAGAACTAGGATTTGAACCCCGTTTGAGCCAGGACACCAAGCACCTGATGCTACTTTGTGACTAAAAGCTGGGCCAGCAAGGGAACTAACTACAGGCTAATAATACAGGGGCCATTGACTGCTTTTAACTCAAGATTTCACCACATGAAAAAGTCTCAGTGGCATTGAAAACCTTCAGCAAGAAAGGACTTCTTTGTTTTGTGGTCAATTGGCATTCATTCCTGTAATATAATAATGGAAAACGCTTGGCCAAAATATGGCTGTTTTTCACTGACTCTTGAAGTGTTCCTGGCCACAAGATTCCCTCCTGATTGCAAAAGGATTCCTCGTCCTTGTAGGTCACACCTTTCACCCCTCCTTCCCCTTTCCTTTCTGGAGATACTACTTCAGCAGGTGTAGATGCCACATCAATAAAGACAATCAAAACTGACGGTGTTTTATGCGCCTAACTCATTTGTAATAGGATTCCGTGGTTCAGGGTTGCTGTTTCAAGCTGGGAGGTCTCTCAGGCCCTGGGCAGGTTCTGCTGGTCTGGACAGCACTTCCAAATCATGAATGATGCTCCAGCCACAAGAAAGGACCCAACTAATGGACACAAATCACCTTCCTCCAAGCAAGTGATAGAGCTCAACTGTTCCAGAAGCAAGCGAGAATAACGGTTGAAGGGTAGAGCATGAACATCTCACGATGGACTAATCTGTATCTCTTTGAAATCCAAGCGAACAAGAACACAAACCACTTTCCTGGGAGTCCTCATGTCAACCCCGTGGATTACTTTACAGTTCATGTTCATTTTTAGACAATCTCTTTTAGGAGGAAACATGCCAGTTATATTAGACTAAACCACATGAAATGGCTATTTAGCTATCATTTTGCCCACAAAAACGGTCATTTCACACAAATCAACCTAGTAATAATGACAGCAATGTGTAGTCTTCTCAAAATGTTTCCTACATTTCTTTTTCAGTTTAAATGGAGACCTTGGGTTGTAAAAATAAAATGAGGAAATACAGCACACATTAAATTCTTAATGAATATCTGTTGAATCTTCAAGTATATAAATCCTAATGATCTGATGGTCTTGCTTCTATCTTAGGCATACCAGGAGCAAACTTTCTAATGTCAGAGTGAATGCACTTTAACACTTTGAAGTTGAGTTTCACTAAAGCTTGAAGAAATAATCAAAAAATTCCACTTGATTTATATATGTACATTTTTATTAGAATTCTTCAGAACTGTCAACAGTTGGACAACATTACAGGAAAAAACACATGGAACACCAACATCCTTTAAACTTGCACCGCTTACATATTTACACATAAAGTTACTGTATATATAAAAAATATTTTCAAGGACTCATGGGCCTGGGAATATTCAAAAGACATTATTGCTACATTTCAATATTTACAAAAAAAGCCATAAAATAATTTCAAACATTAAGCCACTGAAAAGAAACATCCGATGTAAAAAAAAAATTATAAAAATATAAACTTTCAAGAATATCCAAGACAAACTCTCAGTGAAGTGCCCCTGAAGTACCTAGACAACTATAATTAACAACCACTTTTCTGACTATAATCAAAGGCAATAGAAACACAAAGGAAATATTCCGACAAAGGATGGCAAACAGCGACGATGTCTCACGTGACAACAAAACCCCAAAATCTGTTACCTTTGGAAAGGTGCGAGAGTATAGAACTCCAGTGCAAATGGTTACTTCCAGATAAATGACCACAGTTCTCTAAATGTAGTCTAAGGGACCCAGGAGGGGGAACCATGAAGGCAGCATACTGAATCTCGCCAGACAACACACGAACCTTGCGGCACACACATGGACCTCTTGACAGTTAGGCAGTGAGTTGGGGGGGAAAAAAAAAGTGAACTCTTAAGAATAATATCCAGGCTACAGCCTAAAGGGTAAAATTTAAATATGCTTTAGCAGGAGAGTAGCCTTAGGTCTAAGGAGTGGGTGTAGTATGTTGAGTATAAACAACAGAGTGCTTGAGGTGTAGGTGGATTGCAAATAAATATTTAAGTACTCTGCTTCCTATGGGGATGCTATGTAAGCTTCTGGCAAGTTCCTCTAGACAGCTAGGTGAAGAGAAACAAGAGCAGTACTGATGATGAAGGCCAAACTACTTCTTGAGCACTGAAGGGCCCTCTTGGGATCAAGGCAAGAATACCCCCCAAATATTTGTCTATAAGCACACGCACGCACACACACACGCACACACACACGCACTCACATAGGTACTGGCCCGGCGTCCAGGACATGCCTGCAGAGGAGGCTGAATCTAAATTTAGTTTCTGGCTACCAAAGAATCCAAACTAAAACAGCACTGTTTTGTCCCTCCCGCGGGAGTCATGAAGTGAATCAGTCACTTTTTCCAATGGCATCAAATCCATTGAGCACAATGCCATTCTGAAGCTGGTAGGCTTGTTCTGGAGAATCTGGGGAGCAAGTTCATAGGCTACAAAAGGAGATTTTTGTTAAGATTGTGCTTGGCAATTACGGTTTTCTTCTTTAAAAACAAAACAAAAAACACTGTTTCCTTCAAACTTGTCTGGCTCTTCATCTATTTCTACACACAGCAGACTTGAGCCAGGGTCACATCCAGAAACGACACCGTGTGGGTTTTCCCCCCTCAAATATATGAACATGTATGATGTATAGATGAGTATATACAAATGCTGGCTGGGGAGGCCTTCTCTCCAATTCAGCGTCCTAACAGCAAACGCTATTTACAAACCCGATCAGTAGCACAAAGGCTCATGCACAGCAGCGTGTCTTTATTCATGCTCGGGGAGCATTTTTCCATGGCCTATGTCTCATTCCCAGCATGAAATAGTAGGTTTCTTAAGCCCAGATATTCACAGACTTCTGCCCTTTGTTCTAATAACATTCCATGTTCCACATCAAGAGATCAGGTTTCAGCTTCTAATCTTGCGGCATCATCGTATCATTACGGATGGTTAGGAGGCCCGAAGGCGACTACTGCCATTTATTCAAATAAACTATCAGCGATGCTTTTCAAACAGAAATCGGAGAAGTCTTGGAAAGGACTCGGGGTGTCCAGGCCATCCCACCCTCCCTTGCTCCCAAGTCTGTATTATTATTATTTTTTCATTAATGAGGGCTGCCTGGCTCTGGGGAGTAGAAGATGCAGTTTGAACTCTTACAACAGGATGGTGGCTGGTGACAAAAATCACTGGTCACTAAAGTGTGCGCATCAAGATAGGATTACAGCGGCGTGTCCACTACTCTGGAATAGGATGCAAGCTGAAGGAGAACAAAACAACCAGTATAGAAACCAAAAGAACAGGGATCATTCCTGTTGGGGGAGGACCCCCCCTCCCCCGGCACGCCTCCTGCTTCAGACATCTTCGTGAACCAGCAGAGGCTGGGTAGAAGACGCACTGCTGCCCACAGAGTTGATCCGCACAGAATGGTCCACCACAGGACGCTCCTGGTGGGGGCTGCAGTTCACTAGGTTGGAATAAATCTGAGGAAAACAAGTCCGCGGTTAATACGCCAATCCCCGCAATGAACACAGAGACAGATCATGGGCGCGTGTTTGCAGCTTCGGGATCACAAGTAACTTACAAAGCCTCTTTGAAAGAGAGGAGATTGGCAAGACTTTCACGGCCAAAACCCCAATCATATGGACAAAAGAAAACATAAGCTTTATTTTATCCCTCATTTCCCCCAAACTCTGATACATAAGAAGTGATGGTGGGGGGGGAGTGCTTTTTTGCTGAAATATATCTGGGATCAAGTACTATCTAAATAAACTATTAAAAGCGTTTATCAACTGCTATGGACAACTATAACCCAATGGCTGATGTCATTTGCTGGGAAATCGGTGGCCCTTCCAGGGGTCTTCCATTGAGAATTAAACACATGGGTGGGAAATGCTGTTTAATCTGAAACATGGTCTGACACCCAGAAGAGCAAGCTTTAACTCAAAAATATCAGTGATATACTCTTAGAAACGATAGTTCCAAGCACACAATCCATCAAAAAAGCAGCTTTAAAAAAAAAAAAAAAAAAATCTGAGTTAAAGGATCACCAATTCTTCCTTAAGAGCAGAAGAAATAATGGATTTGAGTTTTAAAAAAAAAAAAAAAAAAATCTGAGTTAAAGGATCACCAATTCTTCCTTAAGAGCAGAAGAAATAATGGATTTGAGTTTTGAATCCCCAGCACCCCCCACCTCCTCGAATCACTGGCAGGGATCTCCCAACCTCAAAAAGCTCTTGATTCTATATGGCTTGTGGGCATGACAGCTAGATGCCATTTTCTGGCTATGCCTGTTTGAGCAGAAGGCTTATTTCCCTGCCGTAACAAGTTGTCTCTTCTATGCTTTTATTCTAGTTCACATTACCCCAGCCATCCAGAGGCTGAATGGGCCAGACACATGAGACAGAGAACACGCCGATCCCATGACCAGCATCTGGGGTGGGGGAGGAAACACAGCAAATCCGTATGGAAGCTTCTGCCTCCACACTTTGCGTGCAAAGCCCTCCACTCTTTTTCCTCCTCATCTGACGTCTTTACGGCAGAACCGGGGTCGGGCAGAAAAAACCTGTTTCCATTGCTTTTCCTGCCTACCCAAAGACCAAGCTGCCTAAGGCAAGGACAGAAGGGAGGGTCCCAGGGCCCCCAGAGCCTGAGAAGGAAGCACCTGGTCCGAGAGAGGGGGCTGGAGTGTACTCACATGATTGGTGCTATCTGAAATCTGCTTCTCAATGAGCTGCACGATCTGCTTGAACGTTGGCCTTTTTAGGGGATCAGCATCCCAGCAAGTCTTCATGATGTCATACCTGCAAAGCAAGGGCCATTTCCAATCACCCCTCAACGCCCTTGTCCTGGCTTCTCAGAGTGTACTTCATGTGACCATCTCAAAAATCATTCCAGGGCCGTGCAACTGGGCATACGGAAAGGCCCGGGCATGAAATAAAACACTGTGCCTATGAAAGGCTGCTGAAACTTTCTGCGCATTTGGTGACAAAAGATTATGAAAATAAGCTACAAAAACGGCATCTGACCGGGATGTCATAAAAAGGAACAGGAGACGTTGATATTTCAGACTGTACTAGTGAAACCCCCCCACACCTGGGTTTCTGTCTTTGAAAAGGAAAATAAAAGGGGAAGCATGATCTGAAGGAAAACATCTCGGCCCTTACATTTCGGCAGGTGCATGCTCAGGGCTGAGCATTCGGAACCCTTCCTTGATCATCTTGTAGAACTTAGAATCAACTGGCATCCCGGGGTAGGGGCTGCTTCCTGAGGCACAAACGGTTCGCAAATCAGTGTTAATAAGCAGGACACTGATAAAACCTTAAAGAAGATGCTCAGTCTAACCAAGGTGCCTTTGCAAGGCGTTTTACCTAAAGAGAACAGCTCCCACAGAAAAATCCCATAGGACCAGACATCACTTTCAAATGTGTACACACAGTTGAAAATGCTTTCAGGTGCCATCCACTTCACAGGCAGCCGAGCCTGTAACACAAGCACAACATATTCGGCGATGTTAATTAAGAAGCTCAAAAAAAAAAATTTGAATAGAAAATATTCCTACAGGTATCGCTCCCACTGTGGGGGTGAGGGTGAGAAGGTGACTGCCATCTCACAAAGGTCTTTTACCCTATGACTCAGATGACTCTCCCTACCTCTGAAATAGGTGGTTCACACGGTACTATCCCCATTTTCAAGATGGGGACACTGAGGGGCGCCTAGGTGGCTCAGGCGGTTAAGCGTCTGCCTTCGGCTTAGGTCATGATCTCGGGGTCCTGGGATTGAGCCCTGCATGGGGCTCCCTGCTTGGTGGGGAGTCTGCTTCTCCCTCTGCTGCCCCCCATGTTCTCTATTTCTCTCTCACATAAATAAATAAAATCTTAAAAAAAAAAAAAAAAGATGGCGACATTGAGTCAATACAGCGTGGTGGTTAAGAGCACAGATGTCAGGGACAGACACATGGGGTCTAATCTAGCTCCATCACTGGCCTTGAGTAACACAGAGATTTGTTAGTTACCACCGAATACGTTTTCCCCAACAAGAGAAACACGGCCTCCCACAATAAAAACTACATTTCCCAGCTCCTTTGTAGCTTAGCGTCGCCATGTGACTCAGGTTTGGCCACTAAGTAATAAGTATAATATTGTAGCTGTAGGAAAGCCTTGTTAAAAACATGGCTGGCAGGCGCCCTTTGATCTTTTCCTTCTCGTCCCTCCTCCATCCTGCCTTCTGACTGTGGTGCCTGGCTATCTAGAGGCCATCTCGAGCCAAGAACGAGGGCTACACCAGCAGCAGTGAGCAAATGGAAGAGGAGAAGGATCTGATCCTGGTGCTCTACACCAGCCCTGGCCTACTGTTACTATACTTCCTTTACTTTTCTTTGGGGTTTTCTGTCATAATCACACCCAAACTATCTTTTACAAATACACTGGAAATGTCACTTAAGTATCTGTAATTAAGCCTCAATATGTTCTTCCGTAAAGCAAAAATAATGTTTCAAATTTCATGAGCTGTTTTGTGGGTTAAATGAGATCATGTGGGCAGAAGTGCTTAGCACAGTACTGCTGACTCACTAATCTCTGAACAGCTGCCTTGCCTAAGCAAGCACCCAATGGACAGTAGCGGCTTATGGTGACCATGACGATTCCAACGTGGCGAGCAGCAGACCGGGCTTTAAATTCAACAGCTGAACTTCACATCCTGAACCCTTTCTGCTAAAATCAAGTTAAACTTGCTGTGACTATTCCTTTTACAGACATTCTGGATTCCTGGATCTTAGTCTACCATAAAAAACTAGATCAATCCTTCTCTTAATCCATTTAGGATTGAAAACTGGGAAGACAATTTTTTTTCTAGTGTTAAAGTTACTTTAGCCAGCAGAAAAAAAGCAAGCAAGCAAGCCAGCCTTCTAGTATCTCCTCCCAGAATTTATGCTAAAGCTCCAACAGGGGCTCCTAACCTGAGCTCTACTACATGTGTCCTGGATTCAGGGGTCTGTGAACTTGGAAGGGAAAAACATGACATTCTTGTTTTCACCAACTTCTAAGTAAAGTTTAGCATTTCCTTAAATTGTGAATAAAGGCAATAAAGCCCAGCAATCTTAGCAGTTCCTGTGACTTTGTGACAGACACCTTCACCATTATTAGTGTTTACATCACCATCACTTCGAAATTACAGCAGTTTTTAGACCCACGGCTAGAATAGGTTACAGTGTGTAACAAAAAAGCAGGAGTATCAACGTCAAATACTGACTTTTTAATAATGTGAGAACTATATTCCAATTGAACTGCATTTCTTGGTAATCCTATAGATTTTATTTTATGCATTTAAGACAACATTCTGACAAGGGCTCCAACTGGCCTCACCAGACATTGGAAGGGGCCACGGCAGAAAAATGACTAAGAACCCATGTGGAGTGGAAGAACTTTCTGAGAAGCTGACACAGGGAGATGTCACATGACGAGTAAATTTGGGGCGGTAACATGTTGTGTGAGCCTGGTGAAGAGAGATCTGTCATTGGTTAGCTCAATGGGCCTGAGCTGGAGCCCCCAATCTAGAAGCCTGGTGGGACCTAACCCATCCTTGTTCATTCCAACTAAGGTCCCTAACCAGTAACAAGCTATTAAGAAGCTGCAGCATAACCACTGTCATGATTATTTATATTCCAAATCAAGACATCTATAACAGTAAGAACAGGTGCTGTATTAGCCGCAATGTGGCTGGCACTGTCCTAAGCACGTCACATAGATGAACTCATTTAATCCACACAACTTTATGAGGCAGGTGATAGGATCATTCCCAAGAGGAGGAAAGAAAGCAAGGTTGAGAGGCATTGGGTAATTCTTGCCAAATATTGTACCTCCACCAAATGATGGGACCAGATTCGAACTCAGCAAGACTGGGTGCAGAACCTGCTGTCTTCCTCCTCATGCCCTTCTGTCAATATTCAAAGGCCTCGATAAGGAATCACCCCTCGTTCTTTCTTCCAATAGTGCATGCACCGGGATAGAAAGAACTTGGTTCTATTAACCCTCATAATGATGAAATCTAGTCTTAGAAGAGATTTATTAGAAATACATGCTTTGAGGGGACGCCTGGGTGGCTCAGCCCGTTAAGTGTCTGCCTTCTGCTCAGGTCATGATCCCAGGGTTCTGGGATCAAGCCCCCGCATCGGGCTCCCTGCTCAGCGGGGAGTCTGCCTCTCCCTCTCCTTCTGTCCCTCCCCATTGCCCCTGCTCTCTCTCTCAAATAAATAAATGAACAAATAATCTTCAAAAAAAAAGAAATACATGGTTTGATCAGGAAGGAAAGCCAGCAACATTTCTACAAAACCAAGTCAAGTACAGCCTTCCCATAGAGATGCCATGGTGAAAGAGAAAATATTACATTATCATAAGGCACATAAATAGCCACCTCCAGGAATAAATCCAGCCTGGGGAAATGGGCCTGGGCAAGAGGATATACACAGGACTATATGGCTTCCCATAGTAATGGGATTCTGCTTTGGAGATCATGGGCTCTGGTTTCAGCCTTTACTGACCTGCGTCATCTCTGAATGAGTGATGTTTATTACTAAAATACATAAAATATACTAAGCTTTAGTTTCTCCAACTCTGAAAATGTGAAGACATGGCAGGGGGTTTTTCTGATGATACAGTGAGAACTGGCAAGGAAATAAAGCACTCTGAAATAAAATCACTATGTTCTCTAACCCAATTATTACTTATGATCATACCTATTTCATATGCTCTCCATTGATTGTAAGATCCAACATTCTACATACCGAATTCTGAACATTAGCTTAGATTTTAATCTTTTTCACATGGCATGTCAATCTCCAAATAAAATTCCCCTGCTGTGACCTTCAGGCCCACATTTGTTTCACTTGAACAAAATAGAGTTCATTGCTATTCTCAGGCTATAATGAAAATTAAGGCTATTTCTGTTTCTTTCACATGCCCCATAATTACACAATTAGAATTAGGAATTCTATTATCGGAATGTTAGTTGTAGTAATGTTCAGCATACCATGCAAATTTTGCTGAAGTACCCTTAATTTGACTGCTAAAATGCATGCTATCTCAAAGGTAGGATTTGCATTAGGAAACTCATAAGAAGCAATTGTTAGGAAAACTTGAAACTAAAATCCTTCACTGGACTGTCAAGCAGAGAGTGGGTACTCACATTTCCTTTGACCACATAATTAGAATCATTCTTGATGTCTCTGGCTAGACCAAAATCACAAATCTTTGTGATTCGACCATGAGTAAGGAGGATATTTCTAGCAGCCAAGTCTCTGTGAATACACTATTAGGAGAGTGGGAGAGAAAAGAAAACCATTTACATTTATTTTAAACTCTTCAAGAATGAAAACTACGTTCAACACTAGAGTGCTGCTCTGTCACACAAATCCAGTACCTTGGCTTTGCTTTGAAACTATTTGGTGCACCAAAAATAAAGATCTAAATTATGCTTTGAATGATGTTCAAAATTTGTGTTTCACATCGTTAGGACCTTAATTACGATAATCATTTTCCAAACCAACTCGAATAAATTTTTTTCCCTCCTTAGGACTGCTTTCATTCATAGGAAAATACATTATAAATAGTCATATCGTATCTTTTAAACCGAACACTCATTTTGCATGCTTCTCTTTGAATGTCCTTTTATAGAGTTTTTAGAATGTCTTTGCAACTCCAATTTGATGTCTCCCAAGGACACAGGGAAGAGGCTCTTTATTTCAGCCATCCTATACCATACTCTCTCGGTTTGGTAATTGTTTGGAAATGTCACCAATGACACTTAAGGGTAGGGTCTGTTATCTCCTGCTAGTCTACTAGTCCCGTATGCTAGGGACTTCCTCTCACCTTTCCAGAGACTATGTTCCTTGCTTTGGTTCCATCATTCTCTTCCCATCCCTATCTTTTTTCCCAAATGCTTATTATTTTCTCTGATTCCTTATTCCTCCATACTTCATGAACCCGTACAATAACTTGAGGTCTAACTTCCAACAAAACCCAAATACGTGCTTCACCAAGCACTGCAACTGCATGAGGCACCCCCTCCTTTTGCTGATGAAATCATTCTCTATTTTCTAAGAGCAGCTCCTGTACCCTGAAAGCCAAAATTTTTAAATGAATTCACTGCATAAAAAAAAATATTCATAGAAAGCTCATTTAGACAGGCTTGTACTTTAAAGCTTATAAATGAGAATAGGAATTCCAAAGAGACAGCAGTTGGAACATGAAGAAACTCAATTTCCTCTGTTTTGGGTTACCACACTTCCAAATGAGACTGTGTATTCTAACTAGGGCTCTAAAATGCTCCATTGGGGTTGGGGTTGGGGGTTGGGGCATTCTGCTCTGAGAACCACACCCACTCACATTCTTTGAGGCGAGGAATGCCATGCCCTTGGCCACCTGGTAAGAAAAGCTCAGCAAGTCCTCCAGGTCCAGAGCCAACTCGTCATCTTCCATGATGGCGGGAGTCACATCTCTTTCTATGTATGAGCCTGTTAGGAGAAGGACTTTCTTAGCAATTAAACCTCAAAGTGCGGAAAAGAGAAGACAGTGACAAGGATACCAAAGGTTGGTAGGGAAGGAACTGATGTGACTATGCAGGCAAGTCACCTGCCCAGCACTGAGGAAAGGTAAATGCCCCAGCACAAAGCTAATATTCACCATCTGGGGCTTCTGGGGAGAAGGATGGTGGACAAATAAGAAAATCTCCTATTTTTTAATATGCAAAATACGTATCTGATACACATACATTTTTCATCTATGCAGTGAGATGCTCCTATACAGTAAACAAATGCTCTGATACCCACTTGGAACCCTTAACTGCCATTGACCAGTGGGCATTGCCATCGGTCCCTACTGGAAAGAAGTAACAGTCACTCTGGGGAACACTAGTATATTTCACAGCAGTATGAGAAATCCTCTGTAAATGAAGTTGTTTTTATAGTTTCATAGGTACCCACCTATTCTCGCAGATCTCCTTTTGTCTGCCTTGGTTGGCACAACATAAGAAACTCCGGGTTTCATGTCCATGTATTCATTAGCACTATCATTGCTGTGAGAGATGAAATATCCATCCATCAAATCAGGACTGAATAAGATGGGAAACAGGGGAGTACCCATGGGGCAGGCTCTATCTCCCCACTGCCTTTTTTACACAAGAGGCTGATTTTGTTCAAAGAAAGTATTGCCAAGTTTGAATGAAGAAAATCTTGTTCATAAGATAGGCGTTTTTAATATTCAACATTAGGGTCCAATGCCCAGGAATGAGACCATCTTTTTTGTGTTCAATCATAGATGGGACTCAGGTTAGAAATTTCCCATTTCTTGACACCAAGGATTTAATGGGAAACAGAGAGCCAAAAACATTATCCCCCATTCCCTCAAACTCTCTAAATTAGCCCCAAGAGACAAGATGAAAGACACAAGAAAGACACAAAGAACAAGAGCTTCTGAGATGTGTGATGGGGGGAAGGCAGGGATCGTTAACATATAGCGACTGATGGAAGAAGGTTTGAAAAAACCAAGTTTAGTTCAGATAAACACCAATAATTTGGATGATTTTCTGAACCATCTGAACCTCTTGAATCTGCAACATTTGGCTGGAAAGTCTTCAAGATTTCTAGTTCTTCCTGCTTCTGATTAGCATAGAAACACTATGACAACAATCTCCTTCGGAGTATGCTGGTGGTTCCAGTCCCATATGGGATCCCAAAGCACAAAGAACACCACATCGGATTGAACAATTTGGGACATTATTTCAGAAAGTTGAGAAAGAGATATGGGGCCAAGGTTTTAGAAATAAGGCAAAGTGGCTCATTTACTCATACAAAGAGCATATGCTCTGGAGAAACTAACAAAAGGTGGTTTGTTCTGTATTTTACTACCACTTGACACCACCCACGTCTACAGGACTAGAAAAAAGTAAGATAAAAAGGCTTCACCTGGGGTTTAAAACTTTAGCCAGGGGTACAAAAAAGGGCTTTAAGAGTTAACAGCCCATCAGTAATAGTTGCTGAGGTCTTCCTGAGGGCCTGGAGCTAAGTTTAAGAAACAAAGTCCTGCCATCTCAAAATGTAGGGGACAGAATGAATAAGAAGGAGAGGAGAAATCCAGCACACAACTTCAGAAATATAAAGGATAAGGGACTGGGCATGATGAATATGATTTCTGTTGGGCTGGGTGAATCTAGGAAATCTTCATCAATGGTAGATCTCAACCTTTGGAAAGAACAGGCCAGGCATGGCAGAGAAGAATGCTTCTGGCTATAAGCCACACTAACTGTTCTTAAAGGAATCTGAAGCTCTTTATACACCATTCAAATTCAGAATGGTATTAAAGACGAAAGCGATGAAAATAAGGTACAGAATTTTAAAAAATGTGCTAGAGTCGTTGTGCCTTTTAATAGCGTGATGAGTTTAAAAAAAAAAAGGGGGGCAAGGTATACAGGAATAATTCAGAGGTAGATGGTGAGAAACCTACGTGCAGAGATAAAGTTCAGAGCTCTTTTGTCATTCTGTTAAAGGTTTTCAAGAAATTTACAACTTGACAGGCTTTAGCATTTTCTCTATAAGCAGCGTCTTGCTGTAGAGATGCATACAGTACCAAGCCCAACAGAATAAATGAAATGACACACAAGAATAGAGCCATGATAAGAGAAACAGGTATAGAATTCATTCCACTGAACAGAACTAATGCTTTGAAAAAAAAACTAAAGATGCATTAAAAAAAAAATCAATAAAAATCTAAGTTTAACACTACTCAAATCTTTACAAACACTATTCAAACTTTCTAAATTGTTGATGACATCTAAATGATTTAATAATTCTGATTTGGCGCCTCAAAGTACCTCTGTTCATTTGTTTAAAGAATCAGCCTTGATTGCAAACCCTTATGACCCCACGAACTGCCTGTCAACAGCTATTTATGTAAATCAGTCTTACCAGGAAGACTCCTTTGAATGCAGAAGGTTCTTATAAAGTGCCACTTCGGCGTGATCTTCCTGCTTCGAGCAAATAAATGAATCACGTTTTCTTCGCAAAAAATTCAAAAGATCACCATAACAGCAGTATTCAGTAATGACCAGGGTGGGCCCTACAGGCATATAAGAGAAGGTTAAAAAGAGGTGAGCTATACAAACAATACTGCCATAAATACACCTGTCGGGGTGATCATGACCATTTTCATTCTGGTTCATTGCTAAGCCAACTAAAAGCCAGCATTTTGTAGAGTACAAGTCCCCAAGTAAGCCCCCTTGCACCTGACGTTCATTCTAAGTGACGTCTGAGCCCGGGGCCCCGCACGACTGCCCGTCTCACACACAAGAGTTACTGCTTTCGACGTTATACTCATATCAAATTTCCTGCATGAATCCTTTGAGTCACTTCTGTTTGTAGCGGGGCTTCACGCCCTCTCAATGTTATTATGGAAATGACGAAGGGCACAAAGTGCGGCATAATAGGAAAACCAATGGCACGGAACGGCCAGCTGAGATGAGCCCGGAGAGCGGGTGAACACCTGAGTGGCAGGGCATCACCTGCCTCCTGAGTGCGACTGGTCGCCAGGGTTTCTCCGTACGGTGAATACGCCTCATGCTACCGCTCGGAAGTTCACAGGCAACGAACTGACTTGGGCAGAAACTTTCATGAACAAGTCATGATGTGGAAGCCACGTGTATGGAGGCTGTTTTAAGAAATTCTCTAAGCTGTCAACTTGACTGTGAATCCCTGTACATCTTGAGGAAGAGCTCGTGTTACACATCTTTGTTCCTTTAGACCAAATGCTTTCTGGAAACATCACAGACATCTTTGATGGAAGGCTCTACTTCAGAACTGCTTTAAACTGGTTATTTAGTTTTTTTACAGAAGTGAAGTGTTTGCCTCATATGGTGTGTATTTGAGAACTGGTAGGCTTCAAAGTCTATCTTTAATTACAGTATGCAAATGAATAGTAACCCTTTAGTGACTGACTATAATCCGGCAAAACATCAAGCTTGCAAGATAAAAGAAAAGCTTTCTGGATGAGAGGGGACGTTCTCAAGATACTCAAGAGGTCAGTGTCAATTCAACGTCCATGACAGTAACTAGGGTATGTCCTGGGCTGTCCCACCCCATGATGATAAAACTGAAATATATGTTCTTAAGAACAACAGCTTTTTGGGGCAGGGGTGTGAAATCTAGCAAGAGGTTAACAACCCGTAAAAATCTGGCAAGAGGATATAATCAAGAATTGTCGAAAATGTATTAAAATCTCCCCTCTTTTGATAAATTTGAAAGATAATAGAAGTTAATTTGGTCATGGCTTTACCTCCAACAGTGCATGCTCCAAGAAGATTCACAATATTCATGTGATTACCGAGGTAACTCAAGACTTTGAGCTCAGACATCAGGGCCTCTCGTTCGGTTAAATGGGCACTTGCTAAAATTAGAAAAATGTTTCATCTTAGCGAAGAGCCAATTTGGCAAGTCAATGTTGAGGGCATGCAGGAGCCTGCAGAAACTTACGTTTGAGCATCTTAACGGCCACAGTCATGGCCGCATCTGACTTAATGAGGCCATATGCAGTAGCCTCAACGACTTTCCCGAAGGCACCGGCCCCCAGAGTTTTCCCTGCAGAAAGGAGGAGAAGACAGTAAGTGATGGCGGTGGGACCGACGAACCACCTGGGTAATTTCAAAGTCAACAATTAAGGAATTGTTAAAGAATTAAGGCCAAGTCTGTCTAGAGACGTTTCTCTATAATGTGCTTTATGCGAAATCTACCAAAGGTGGTGAAATGTCACAGAAAATACTTACTGTCTCAGGTGGAACAGAACAAAGGAAGCTAATGGGGTTCCCTAAAGTCATTGTTAATATGTGTACACAAAAAGGTTACATGGAAAGCCCGTTTTCATACTGACCAAAACTCAGCCTGTTTCTGGGAAACTCCCATTTATGATCATAAGGAAGTTGTGTTGGGTCTATGTAAACATAATTGTTTCCATTTATCTCCTCAACAACCTTCCACTGTACTTCATACATGGGTTTCTGGTCAGGGGAGAGAGGGAGAGATATACATCATCTTTTAATGATTAATGTTTCAATCATTACAGCCCTTAGGGTTGAGAACGAATGAATGATTACCTGTAAATATTTGTAGGTAAGAATCATCACGATAATGCACATCATACCAGCCGCGATCACAAAACCAATCAGCAAAGGTGTGAACAGGGTGTGGGGATGGATTTGTTCTAAAATGAAAGGAGAATGTGGAATCATAAGCTATCAGCAGGGATGGATCTTCACCACAACCACCTAACCCCAAACTCACCCATCCCCCATCTTACAGCCCAAGCAGGATTCAAAGCCAAGGGCATCTCATCAGCTCCTTGCCTTGCTAATATTACCTTACTCTGGTTATTCAAAGGAATCCTTTGAATTAACAACTTTAAACTAGACTACTGAGGAAGCAGAGACTTCTGTAGCACAAGAATAATTTTATGCTGTTTTGTCCATAAAAAGCGACATATGAATGAACTTCCTACTTCAACTAAATTCCTGCCTTGGACAACTTTAAGAAGTTTCCTAAATTTATGGATGGTTTATAGTTTCTTCTTTATGTTTTCCTATATTTTCCAAATTTTCTACACTGAGCAAGAATTTCTTCTACAACCAAGAAAACATTTTTAAAGTGTTCTTTTCATTGCCTGTCTGAGAAAAAAAAACTGTGACAAAGAACAATGTAGGATTCTTCCCCTCATTACTCAAAAACTGAAAGTATACCGCTTATTGGCACACGTCTTTGCCAACTCGAGAAAACAAAAACTAAGCCCTACGCAGGTAGGTGCCCAGTTTCTTTGTCTTCTAACTTCATACCAATTCATCAATTTATCCACAAGGATCATTTAACTTATGTTAGGAGAGGTAGTCCCTCATGAATCAAATTTTACAGATATTAAAGAAATAGCTCACTGACATAACTTCGTAAAAAGCAGCGTTAACTTTCTGATACAGTGTCTGGCAATGTGTTAAAATACATGATTTTCAATAACTAAAATTTTAAATTGAATTTAAGTTTTTAAATTGCCCTAATTCTGGTTATATTTGGCTACGAGGCAAATACACTTCCCTATTTTCTCTTTCTACCCCCTTTTTAATGAGAACGACTGGAAATACACAATTCACTATATACACATACACACACAAGTGCATGCATACATACATATGTGCACACACACGTAAATACATACGTATGTGGTTAAAATCACTGCATACATGTTATTAACGAACTAGTACAGAATGAAACGTAGTGAGTTCGATGACAGCATGGGACAATGAAGAAATTACCAGAAATGACATGGCCATTGATGGAATGGACTTAAAATCATGACTGATATGGCAGGCAGAGCCTGAACATCCCCTTAAAATTGGATTAAAAAGAAATATACCTTTGTTGTTACCTTTAAATGCAAAGTTAAAAAAGGCAGAACTCCTGCCCACATTGTTGTAAGCCCTACACTCGACCGTGCCGTTGTGCTTGAACGCACTGTAATCAATGGAGCTCTGAACCACGAGTTTTCCAGACGGTGAGACAGATGAGTTTTGCATCTGCACATCCATTGGCCCAACAGGAATGGAACATCTAGAGGGAAGAAAAGAACAACCCGGATTTACTCTAAGAAAACCAATCACTCAATCAAACACATTGGATTTGGCATACTTTCACAACAAAGCTAGCGGGTCATTATCAGCAATTTCCTTTTACAACCAAGAGCGTGAGGACGGATGGGCACTTCCCTGGTGTGCCGCAAGCAAGAAGGGCATGGTGGCAAAGAAGAAAGAGGGAGTGAGACAGGAGTTTGACTCCTGATTCAAACACCTTTTCTGTGGACCAGATACTTAAAACTCTCCAGGACTCAGTTCCTGCAGCTAGAGAATGGGGATGGTAAGACCCACGTTAGAGGGTAAGTGAAAGGGCTGGAAATGAATGAAAGAAAGGATGGCTGGCACACAGTAGCCCTTGATAAAAGTAACTGTGAAAGGGTACATGAGGGCTGAAGAAAAGAGTCTGGAGGAGGAAAGAGATCAGGTCTACAAGGATGAAGACAGGGCGGCCCCCAACACCCCAGCAGCTCCAGGTTTTACCGATGGAGACAGGCTGGACCGCTGGCGTGTACTCCTGATGGCAGAGCCCATCACGGGCTGAACCCAGAGGATCCCATTTTAAATTACGTCCCCCATATACCTAATACTTTCCTATTCCCTTACCTCGCTTTATTTTCCTCATTAGCACTTAACTGTTCATTTCATCTTTAGTTTACTTCTACCCATGAGATGTAAACTCACAAAGCAGGGACTCAGGTGCATTTTGCTCACTAGACCAGCATCTGGTATACGACTCCGTAAGTATTTGCCGTATGAACGACGGTAACTGCTAGGGCTGCTTCCACGGTAGGGGCTTTTCCAGGGGTCTCGAGTCCTTCTTCCCGTTCCCCAAAGAAAACATTCCAATAAAACCCCGCTGAAAACAACAATCCTACGTAACCTCTTCCAACTTGTTGTGATAAAAAGGACTATTCTGTGAAAAATAAGATTTCTATTATTATCCTATTCAATTGTGATGTTACACTGGGCTTTTAAAGCCTGAGCACAAGATAGCATCTGATGGATAAAAACAGCCATGGTGACCCCATTTTCATCTTCAGGTAATGTGAAAGGACAATTTAAGGCTTAAGTGCAAATTGGGAGGGAGAAGAAGCACAATGCCAGATGTGTTCTGCTCAGGGGCCGGGCGCCTAATCAAGGAGAAAACCTTTTAAAAACACGGAGCTTACAAATGCCGTATGTATGCTGTAACTGCACGATCATTACTTTTTGGTAACTTGGCAATTAACTTCTGAGGTAATTTTTTTTTTCATGATAACTACAGCCACATTTCCCACACACATTGCCTCCTGTGTATAGGATGGAAATCTAATTACCCTGTCCTGGAAAATTGCTTTATCTACCTGCAGGCTAGAAATTGCATGATAAATCCAAAAGATAACCACCAAAATAGAGAAGTCACTCAATAATCATTTTTCAGCAAACAAAATTAATGTCTACCACGAAAAATACAGCAATTATGCCCCCATAAAAAGCTACACAGAAAAAATATATAATCAAACAAAGCTTTAAAAAAAAAATGACAACCTATCTGACATGCAACTACATTGCAGTCCTTCCCTCATTCGTGTCAGGTAGTACCCCAAATAATCCTCTCACCTCTGCTCGGTTCCTGGACAAAAATACCAATCTACTGTGGGCTCTGGGAATCCTGCTACCACACACTGGAGCATGCCATTCACGAGACTTTCATGAGTCAGGATTTCTGGTTTTGCTGAAGGAAAAGAGAAACGGCCATACGTCAGACTGCTGGAAAACCTCAAGACTCCCCGCCTCCACTGTTTTCGAATCCTTAGAACTTTCCTTGAGGTTGAAGAGGACCCTGAAGGAACACGTTCAAAGGGGAGAACTGGAAGCAGTGAGTGGCAGGCACAGGGAGACAGAGGTGAGGGCCAGACCAGGAAAGGCTTTCACAGTTAGAGCTGCCTGGCCCCAGTGTAGACTGTCCACACTGCAGATGTGGGGGTCCCTGAGAACTTCCTGTTCAGGGACGACTGAAGCAGGGTTCATAGGACCACTGGCCAGGTTTCTGTTTCCAGTGAGGGGGAATGTGAAAGACTGCTTCTAATCCAAACTTTACAATTCCAAACTGTTGTGAAGGTGGAAATCCTATTTAAGATTCCTGCCATCAGAATTTCAAATTGCTGAATCTGCCATAGGAATTTCAAGTTATGGCGCAGACTTGAGTGGATAAAATTAAGAGCACTTACAGGAAAAGAGAAGCTCTCCCTGCACACCCCCCACAGGAATGTCTTTTTTTTGGGGGGGGGGCAGAAGGGAGTGGGTGGAAATAAAAGAAGTGAATCACCCTATTTACAGAGAAGCCAAAACATAAGAGTAAAATACAATATGGGCTTTTAACTCCAAATTTGTATTTCAAATGCAAAATATGGACAGAAAAATTACAACAGGAAACCAGCCCAAGAGTTTTAGTCATACGTATACCTAAACCTGCGTACAATCAACTGAAAAAGTAAGTTGTATCAGCAGGAATGCTCTAATTTGACATTTCTGGGTAACGACAATAATCAACTGGTATTCAATCAAGAGTGCCCTAAAGCACTGCAAATTCTTGAGATTATTTTCTAATGTGAAAGGAAAATGAACTTGATATGTTCAGCTGTTCTTTTTTTTAAGATTTTATTTATTTATTTGATAGAGAAAGCACAAACAGGGGGAGGGGCAGAGGCAGAGGGAGAAGCTGACTCCCTGCTGAGCAAGGAGCCTGATGAGGGGCTTGATCCCAGGACCCTGGCATCATGACCTGAGCCGAAGGCAGATGCTTAATTGACTGAGTCACCCAGGTGTCCCTATTACGTTCAGTTGTTCTATAGGAAATATATTTGAAGGATTCTAACCCTTTAAGAATGAGTAAGCTAAGCCGTAAGGATCTGATGGCATGGGTGGGGGATGCGCTCACCCCGAAACCTCAGTATGGCATCAGGACAGAACTCTGGGAGCCACACGCAGGGTGGGCGGACCTGCACACCGGCTCCCACGCTCATCAGTCCTCTGCCCTCCATCAAGTCTCCTCGGGTGTCACGTGGGAATAACAACAGTACCCATCCCATAACGATGCTATGACAATGAAATGAGATGGAGTACACAAAGAACGAAAAAGGATTCACAGATAGGAAACAGATTAATTATTAATTTATTAATGATTCAGCTATTATTTTCAATTCAGAGTACCTCCCTTAGTTAATCAAGTCTGCTACCAATTAAATTAACTGTATTTGCCACTCTGAACAGTCTCTTCAGTGATCGAGAAATTGCTTAAGATAGTGTGATAACTAATGTGCCTGTGTTTTAACCCGATGCATTGGGAATCTGACCTCGATTATGTTGCAACTGATAAGAAAAACGTACGTGGTGAGAAGGCGGCAGGACCAACAGATCAGAAGCTTAGGAGCTTATTTCTTTAAAGCAAGGGAACACTGTAGAACAACTTCTCAGCACCTCACCTCCTTGCAGGCAAAACGGCTTGGCGGGGAGCAGAGCCCACATGCATGGCACACCCACCTGTCAGTCAGCCTGGTCCCGCGGATGGGCAGGCCATTTGGCTCATACACACAAAAGAGCGGCACTCCAAAGCAATCTCAAGGTAGGAGCATCCTTGAGAGTTTGGGTCCAATGCCAGCTTTCACAAATAGAGCAAGAAGACGAGCCATCGTCTTGTGAAAGCATCCATCTGGCAAGTCTCATTTAATTATCATGGGCAACTGTGTGATTGGGAGGAAAAGTAGGACAGAACACAAAAAAACAGTAGAACTTTAGGAGAATGCTATTTGCTGAAGACGGCAGGCGCCATAAGGCAGGTCTCTCTGGACTCTTTTCAAGTGTCATCTCCTTTTCCAAGCCATCCTCAACTCTCCAAAGCCAAGTTGGTCGGTCTCTCCTCCCTATTCCCGCAGCATGTTAGAGCACCTGACCCTCTTATACAACATCCTGGTCTGCCTCCTCCATCAGACTCTATGTTCTCAAGGGCAGAATCACATTTTACCAGTGGTACCTCTGACTCGGAGCAGAGTCTGACCTGTGGCAGACACATGGTAAGAGCTATCTGAACGATGAAGTCCCCTCCAAAGAACCAAGTTCCTCAGAGTCAAAGGAATTCGATTAGAATCACAAGAAGGGATCTGCTGGTTGATTTTGCTGGGTAGGGACACAATTTTCACTCTTTTATCATAGTGGGCCAATCAGATAGCCACATGTCTACCTGGTCTTATGACTTTTGCTTTAACACCGAGATTAAAGGGGAGAGAGTCCACACAGAGATGGCAAAGATAATTGGACAGGACTTAGACGGGAATCAAGGTCCTAAGACACATTCTCTCACATCGACATTCCTTCCTAATGCCACAGGACAGATTTTTCAGAGTGGAATTAACTAACTCAATAGAAGAAAAAAAAAAAAGCTGAAAGGGTACCTTAAGATGTTAACAATGGTTATCTCTGGGTAGTCGGGTTATGGATAGTTTCTATTTTATTCTTTTGCCTTATTTTCTAATTTTTTTGTTTTTACAATGAATATGTACCTAGCTAATAATGAACCAATAAAAATTTTTTAATTAAAAAAATTGGAACAGCTCAAAATTACATAATCAGTTACATTTTGCTCTGGCTATACAAGTTCTCAAGATCCAAGCCTTCCAGCGTGACACCTGGTGGCAGTTACACAACGGCCAGGGCTGGCAAGTGGCGCAGTCCGGCTGGCCTACTTGTTCCTATGTGCTGGTTAATTGGGCAGATTTTTAAGCTACTGTCTCAGGCCAGTTGTAACCCGAGGCTAGCATAGCAGCTTTTGTCCTGTTGGTCCTTAGCCTGGCCAACCAAGCTCAGAAGGTCTCTAAACTTTAATGTGCATTCAAAGCACTAAGAAAAAAAATTAGAACGGACATTCCTGTCCCCCGTATGCTGAGGATCTGCCCCAGCAATGTGCCTTTTTGTTTTTTTAAGATTGTATTTATTTGCGAGAGAGAGAATGAGAGACAGAGAGCATGAGAGGGAGGAGGGTCAGAGGGAGAAGCAGACTCCCTGCCAAGCAGGGAGCCCGATGTGGGACGCGATCCCGGCACTCCAGGATCATGACCTGAGCCGAAGGCAGTCGCTTAACCAACTGAGCCACCCAGGC